TGAGAAAAGAAGTTTTTCTCTTTCACGCCCTCTAATTTCTGGGAAGTAGCTTCGATGGCTTCGTTGTTGTTTTTCTTCAAATAATTGCATCCACTTGACCTACTTTCCCACAATGTATCCGACAAGAAAAGCTCTGCTTCAAAATCGATGATTCGTGTGAGTATCCAGCACGATCACCACTTCTTCCACTCCCGGAAGGGGAATTTCACAGTCTTTCTAGTTTCAACTGTTCATTTTCGACCTTTACCCTTCGTGAGGAATTAATCACGGTCTTCGAAGCTTGTTATGCATGGGGGAGTAGAGGTGAGGTTGAATCCCCAGTTTCAGAGAAGTAGGAGGGGTTATATCCTCATTATTTATTCAGCAGTAAAAAGCATTTTCCTTGGACTTATGCTTCTACTGCCCTCCAACTTGCTGATTCTTCCTTTTTTCTCTAGCACCGGGTCTGAAGACAAATTCCAGGCTGGTTTTGAGGTACGACATACTACTCGCTCCCAGTTCAGCAGAAAAAGGCGTATGTGCGCCCTGTGTATCCGGAAAAAGTGTAGTTTGGCTGGTCGGCGAAGTTACTGAAGTAATAGGCAGGGGAAGCATTATAGTAAGCAGCATATGTAACTAGTTTGATGTAAATGTGACTGCCTTGAGCAGACTTGAATAAGATGTGACGAAAGAAATTCGTCGTCAATTCTGGATGAATCCAGAAGATCCATCTGGGCCCCAGCGTCCTATCGACGCTCATTCCAGTAGTAAGGACACATGCTAGAGTGTCAACACGAATATTATACAGCACTTGGGGTGTACATAGTTAGTGTCCTCATCTAATCGCTCCTTTTCACCTCACTTGTCTCTTTGTACGCGCATCACCGTTAAAAAAACTTCGGGAAGTTTTTTTTTTATTTCTTGTGACTTCTTGTGCAGTGAGTTGCTTTTCTGTTACGTCACCTTAACAGTTAATCGTCGCGGTTACTGAAGTTTGCATTCGATTGAATTCGTTTTAATCGAATCCTGCCTTTAAATGAAGTTAGTCGAACATCAAAATCGAACAACCTTATTTTCAAAATTCATTTGTCAGGCCAAAACGCCAACTATCATATGGTATCTCCACCCATTTCCATGTTTGTATCCTATTTTTTTCGTTATTGGTGTATGGACGGACATACCTGGTAATATGGCACTAAAAAGTTGCTTTTTCCGTAACAATCATTTCATTGCCAATACAATGAGATCCTCGTCCAAAGAACCTTTTCATCGTCTTCCCTCTTCGGGCACTATCCTCCTTTCAGAGCCTTATTTCTTTAACTCTTAGATGAGTTTTTTAGTCTTATCTGCTTGACTCCATTTATAGTTTGACATGTACGAAAGGCAGTTTTTAGAAATCTGGTAATCGATTGAGTTTTGGCAATGAAGGCGCTTTCGATTTTGCTGAATGCGGTAACGTTCTCAGCGTATTGAACCATTACTATTACCATTTAGCCCTATTTGCTCTTCCCCCGTCCCCATTCCTTTGTTTCGGCAGTGAAATTCGCAAATAGAATCTCCGAATTCAGTAAAGAAGGCTTATATCTTTTTATAGACCTCTGTTCAGCCTTTAGCTATGTTAGCTTTATAGAGTTCTAGATGGGACTATCTATCACCACAACAGTATGTGTAAGTGACTCTACGGCTATGAATCTATGCAAATACCCACGGTAAAGGAGTTGACTTGTCATTGTAGGCAAGCTGGCTGCCGACTGAACTGACAGCTTTGGGAAACTGCTACATCGAATGGTGAAAGCGGATTCTCGCATTGTTCTGTTCGCACTGAAGAATTCTACTAGGTTATAAAAGTTTTACCGCACTTCAACTAGTAGGTTTGTTTTCCATTTAAAGCAGCGGATTCAAAACGGGCGAAGAGGAACTTCAGCGAAACTCATCCTATACCCTTAGTATTATAGTAAATTTTAGCGGTGTTTGGTAAATGAGCTGTAGCTGGCAAAGAATCAACTGTAAAATTTTCTGTGTCTACCTCTTTGTTGAATGCGTTTACCTAGAAAGAATTCCTCTCAAAATGGCCTCTATTCAGCCTATGCAATGAATTATAGGATCCAGTCGAATCGAACTATAGGGGGATATACAAATTGATGCTTCGATTCTCTCAAACTTAGCCTATGCCAATTACCCGATCCAGGGGGATGGAAGACTTTGGTAGCCTGGACTGGTATTGGTCTGGGAATTGATCTTTTGACGAAACGCCTAACAACTCGCCATCACTACCACACCCCACCCAGAAGTCGAAGTAGCAGGTAAAAATGTTGGGTGTATTAATTTAGCATATAGAGCTCATCATGGGGTCGTTCATATCCTTTTGATCTTGCCCCAACTTTCAGAACCCAAATTTCATGATTCTGAAAAGAAGTTATTTTAGTCGAAACTTTCAAAAGGGAAAAATGGTTTCCGAAAATTTTCGGCTTCGATTTCTAGAACTTCGACTAGAAATTAGTTTCCGGCTCTATAGTTGGTATCGCTCTTATGAAGGGACCGTAAATAATTCTGGGTTCCAACGACGGTAACAGAATATAACCGGGAATAAAATAATTTGGAATGAACTTTTGTCATTGAAGCTCTCAGCATTTTGTAAAAAAAAAGTGTTATAAAATTCATGTTGAACAAGTAAGTAATGTATTTTCTTCCTTCTGGACCCACATTACATATTTTGAAAAAAATAAGTCTTTCGGAGTTGATCAGTGAGGTGCGATTGACCATCTCTTGTGACCTTTACAAATTGAAATCCGTCCAGGCCAATCATATCTTCCGGTCCTACAGCTTAGCTTAGTGCCAGACTCGCATAGGAGAGTAAGACCACTGGCTGTTTCATCGTTTGGCCGCCATTGTAGGAGCTACATATTCATCCAAACTACTCCAGAGGAAGTTAAATGCGAGGCGCATCCCGAACAGAACCGATCGGTGTTGGAAAGCGTTTTCCTCTTTTCTGTTTAGCAATGGGGTGAATAGATTCTAGGCTAGTGTTAGGTAATTCGTGAGCAAGTTCTTTAGGCGCCTTGTACAGTCCTGACTTATGGTGGAAAGTTTATGAAGAACAAACTTGCTTGAGCTTAATATGACGGCAACTTGTCACTCATCATTCCTCACTACTAGTACTACTTCGAGACAGCATAATACTAGATCGACCTTGGAGGAAGGGCTAGTAGAGAACCAGCCCTTGCTTCAAGGTCGATCTGGTATTATGCTTTATGAGTTCATATGAGTTATTAGATTGGCGCCAATAATGAATCATTGTATTGTCTAGGTTTGAGTAAATTACGTGGATGTAGTGGTTTTTGTGTAAGTCTATTCTTGAGTGTCAAGGACTTTGAGTTTGCTCGAAACATCAGTGTAGAAGGCACCTTTTAGGTACTAACTCCTAGCTACAACCGATTACTTTAGTACTTTGTGATGGCAAAACGCCTGAGTAATGAAGTTTTAGAGTCTGCTTCAATTTCTTCATTGTTTTGTGCACTTTCAATATAATATAGACGTTTTTCGCAATGCCTTCATCTTTTCATTACTGTCTTTATTTCTTTCAGTTCAGTTTTCTAGACAAATAACGAAAGGCAATGAAATATCTTAAAAGAAATAATCGAAAGTCAAAGTGAATTGATTTGCAAAAGTGAGACGGCTATGTTTTCATTGAAAAAACTTTGAATACGGCTGTTTTCGTTGATTACTTTGAATGAATCGAGGAGAAGACAGAGTCTTGGTAGTGTAGGGATAAGGCACGGTTTCCAATAATCGTGAGTAAGGTTCGAGTCCCATCTAAGACCTTTCTTGTAACCTGGCATTTTTGCTGTTTTCGCATCTCAAACTGCGTTGAAACAACAGCCAAACAAGACTTTTAAGCCCAACTATTTGCTTGTTAGTGACTTTTACGACTGGTTACTGACTTTTAAATGATCATTTTCTTGAAACTGTCAGTCAAAGAAAGACCATCGTAGACATTCGTAATCACATTTGTCAATTGGGAATAAAGATTGGTACCATGTTACTTTTTGTGAAAATGGGACTGAGGAAAATTTAGTAGCTGAAGGAAAATCATCCCAAAAGCCATAAAGTAGGATCAGAAGCAGGTCAATGTATCCTTCCTTCTCACAGCCTTTTTGTTATGAGCAGGAGTCGAGTATTCTCTGGGCAGAATATTAAGTTACCTCTCCAAGTAATTCTGTTGATCTGTAAACGTTCAATTGTCTATGCGACTATTTTCAGCTTATGTTGTTTACTATGAGTAGGATATCAACTTACTTACTCAAGTAACTGTGAAGACTTGTAAACCTTTAAGTGTCGCCGCGGTTTCTTGTGGAAGTTGGGCAAGTGCTGAGGCAAACACCTGGCTTGGGTGCTTCTTTTTTATGCTTGCCTATGTAATGAAAAGTAATCAAAGTAGTAATATCCTGGATTAATCCCGTCTTCAATCCGCAATCTGTCGCTATCCACTCTCTATATTGTATAATCGAGATGTGTCGTATTGATATGTCTGGCAATAAATTCTACGGCGACAGCATTGGGGGGACCAGCTGTCCGCGCAACATCCTTCATTGACCTGAATTCTCTGTGGCCATTGCGTTCCGCCAAATCGTACAATATCATGTGTCTTCGCGAATTTCGGGACTGATATCTCGATATATCGTCAGTGATAAAGGTTGATGTATTATTTAGAGAGCGCTCGTCAACTGTGAACCAAGAGAGGCGGAGATCATCAAGAGATACATCAGAAGAACGTTTGACGAGTCAGACAGTGAACAGAGGACACTCGAGAGCCGGAGAGGTGACAGACCGCAACGAACTCGGCGACGGCGACGACGATGTTCGTCTGGTGACTAGCTGACTGTTTGACTGAAGAGACTTGCCGCCATCACTGGACGATAGATCTCACTCGACCCCGCTCACTCTTATTCCCCAATCGCACAGCGCCAACGGATTCGAAGTCGTACTGTAGTCCTAGGTATGTTTGNGTGTTCCAGGCAGACATGACGACAGCTTCAGAGCTTTTCTCTGAGGATGCTCGGACGCGATTTTCGCACACCAAAGCGTTGTTTGAGCAGTTGGAACGGCAACAAGAAGTGAGTTGAGTCTTCTGGGAATTCCTATTTTTGTAAGCGAACCAGGACCATCTTCATATTTCCCTTTGTTCTTCTGGAAATAGAGTATAGGTTGCTTCCTGCACACCATTACTGCTTATTACCGAGGGGATCAGTTGTTTGTGAAGACTGCCTCGCATCAGGCTAAATCTATCTTTTGAATCAGGAGTGAAATGGTTCGATCTGGATTTGAACTATTGCAGTACAGCATAATTTTGACAATTTATACTCAAAATAGCTTAAGAGCAGGCAAATTATGTTTTTACCATTTATTTCTTTTTTTATATCACCGATTTCTTTCCCCTAGCATTTTGTTTCCTGGTTGAGTGGGTCCAAGGTAATGAAGAGAAAGGATGATTCCTTCAATCTAATGTGAGACTTATCGCTCTACATCAATGCCCATAAATGAATTCGAAGGACTTTGAACTAGATTCTTTCAGATTTTTCTCTCTAGGTCAAGTAAAAAGTACCAAAATGGATGTTAACTGGTCTTATAGTTCAGAGCTTTACGTAGCTCAATTAACTGTGATTATCCCGACGCCACGATGAGCCGTAAAAACACTTCCGTGGAACGATGAATGAGTGGTTATGAGGTCTCCGAGTTGTTTTGACCTTGTGAAATGTGCGATTCCCACATTCTTCTGGACCATCGGCCAAAGTAGCACGAAGTTACCACTACTTATTCCCCTGGAAATTCTAATATCCGGGTTACGGTGAGTTTTTCTGAAAATGAATTCTGAGCCAAATGTTGGTAACTGATGATGATGTTCGCTCTTCTGATGAGGATGCCATCTGAAAGCCAACCGAAGTAAGGTAAGGCAAGGTATTTAGGTGGAACGGGACAAGAGCTCATCGTCGAATGTCTGGAAGGGATTGTTATCGCTGGTAATTTCTCGCTAATAATCGACCACTTATCTTTCACTGCTCGATAGATTCTCCTGAATTTTCCGATAGAACTTAACTTTCGTCCTCTACTGACCAACATTCTGGACCTGGATTCAGACAACATCAGCCTTTCTCCCATCTTCGTGGGAGAGAGGCTTGAGAAAGGAAGGAGAAAGGAGGCTCATCAGGACAGCCCATCATCTCCATGTATTTTCACGGTGGGACCGCAGAACTTATTCGAAGGCTTCAGAAAATGGTGTGATTA